TACTGACAGGATTGTTCTGCAAATGAACAAAACAGGGAAATATAAATGACCCAGTAGAAGCCAGCACCTTACAAAGGGGGATGTCTGGCGCGCTGGTACGGTATAAAGATGCTCCGTCCGCCTGGGTTGCAGAGTCGAATCACAGTGAGCCAAGAGACGTGAAGAAACACATCAGTGCCGCTAGAGGAATACAAATGTGAGGGTCAGTCTTTGGAGCCTCGGAATCCATGCAAACGCCAGGCAGATGTGATGGCCAGCCTGTCATTCTGTTGCTCAGATGGCAGAGACCTGGGCTTCTCAGAGCAAGCTGGCCACCCAGACTAACCAATCAGTGAGCTCCGGGTTCAGTTGAAAGACTTTCCTAGGTCATCGTCAGACTTCCCTCTGCACAAACACACATTCACACACACACACATATGTATTCACACTACACACAGTGACAGGTAGGGAAAACATTGAACTGCCATTTCAAACCATGGAAAACAGGTGATGGCAAGCATGTGGAATAGCGTGACCTCGCTTTGCCAGTGGGATGCAATGGCTCAGCCTCTGGAAAAGTTTGGCACTTCTGTGAAAACATGAAACAGTACTGCCGTCTGACCCTGAAGTTCCTGGTCTAGGTCTGTTCTCTACAGAATTTGAAATGGAGCTGAGCATGGTGGCACACCTGTAATCAACCCTAGTGCTAGGGAGGGTAAGGCAGAAGGATGGTGAGTTTGAGGCCAGCTTGGCCTGTGTAATAACGTCTCTTCTTTGTATCACATGTGCACTTACAACTCACAACAGCCAAAAGATAGCATGAGCTCAGATGTTCATCAGTGGGTTAGTAAACACCTAGCTTGTTGTGTAGATGTATATTGAAATAATACACACACACACACACACACACACACACACACACTGAAATGCTGATACATACCACTGTGTGACTTTACCTTGAAACTTTTTATACTAAATGAAAGAGGTCAGACCCAAATGATTGCACATGGTGTGTTGCAATTTTATAGGAAATTCCAGAAAGATACATTGGTAGGGATGGAATGTACTTTAGGTAACGGGTAGCTGGGCGGCGGGGTGGAGAGACACCTAGCTGGTGAGGGGCAGCGCTGAGTTTGGGATGATGGAAAGATTTGATGCGCAATAGTGGGGGGTATAAATATGTTGCTGCAAATGGAGTTGTTTGCTTTAAAATGGTTCATTTCATGTTACCTAACTTTTGTCTCAATAAATAAATCTTAAAACTGTGAGGTGCCACTAATACAGTGAAGTTGAGAAGACTGTTGTTCTGAACGTAGGCAAGGGTGCAGGGCTGCTGGAACCCTCGACCCTGTGGCACTTGGTACGTGGCCTCCATCTCAGCACCTCCTCCCTTGCCTGGACGCTGGGAAGAATCACATGTGTATTTGACCACTGAAAGATGGGGGAGAGGGGTTCTTAGCTTCTTGTCACAGTAGCTCACAGCAACCCAAACCTGTCAGAGTAGGGCGATCGTCATAGATAAAATACTACACAGCAGTAAAATGAGCTGTCGCAGGAAGGTGAATGTCACAGAATTAGGATTGGAATGAAGCCAGACCTCAGGACGAATGCACTCGCATGTACTCGCATGAAAGTTAAGCAGCAGAACTAATCCGCGGAGGCGTTTACCGATGAAGGAGCAGAGAGCAGATGGGTGGTGTCACACAGGTGGACAACACAAGAACAGATTGAACTGGGCACTGTGGATTCATAGAGCTCACTGTGTTATGTTTACTTTTAAAAAGAAAACAAACTGTAGTTCCCAGAGCAGATGTCTGTAAGCAGAAAGGACGGTTTGAGACCCGGGAAGTTGTCGGAGGCCTGGAGTGATAGTGACATGCCGCAGGTTCAGATCTGCTGTGAGCTGGCGTCTGGAGGGAGGGAAGTGGCGGTGAAGGCAGATTTTTAGGGAAGATCTTGGGAAGCACACCTAGGTAGACTGAGGCTGACCACACGTGAGAAGACTGCTTCTGTGGGACCTGAGTGGGTGACACTTGGACATGGAAGCTGTTCAGGGAGGAGTGGGAGGCTGTGGTGCTGGGCATGGAAAGCGAGGAGTTAGCAGTGGTGACTGGGATCCCGCGCTGGATGCTGGAAAGGGTGGTCCCAGTGTAGAGGAGAGGCCAAGAGGTGAGAACAGTTTAAAGTGCTTTCACTAAGAGCCTGCGTCTAAAGTGGACACAGCTGTGGGACTCTTCTGTGGGTAGCGAGGACTAGTCACAGATGGCTGGAGTCACCTGGGCACAGATGGGTCGATGTGGATGAGCACCCAAAGCGGGAGAGGGTAACAGAAGTCGGCAACAGCCACAGAGAAGAAAGTATGGTGACGGGAGGTCACAGCGTGGCATAGTGAGTGTCACCAAGGCCACAGGTGGGTAAAGCAAGTGGAGGATTCAGATACACGGCGGTGGCGGCGAGAAGAGCTAGGAAGGGAAGAGGGGGGCTGAAAATGTGGCGGGGAGCAGGGCTGACGGGGGAGGGGGGCTGCAGACCGTGGGTGGAAGACTGAGCCAGGCAGCGGCCCAGCCGCCCTCAGAGCACAGGCTCTCCCGTGCTCAGATTGTGGGCGAATGTGGAAGGTGCAGCCTGGAATTCCTTCCAGGTATTTGGTCTTACTGCGGGTTCCAGGCATGATCCCGTCTAGTTTTTCAGTGGCTGTGGGTGTTTGGGGTCCCGACGGTCATTCTCCAGCAGTGTGGCTTCGGGAGAGCCGTGGCAGTCTTCGTTGTTAGAGATGAAGGTGATAGACTCACGCACCGCGTGTTCGGGAGGTGAGGCTAGTGTAGGCGGGGACCTGAGACACAGCGGAGAGCTGCTGAGCAAAGCCTCCGAAGGCGCCGCGGAGGCTGGGGTGGGTGCACACAGGCTGGGGTCCCAGGTTGGGGAGGAGGAAGGGGTTCACTGGGTTTGTTCAGGGATGGGAGGAATTAGGGAAAAGGAAGTCTAGCCTGGGGAAAACTGTAAATGAAGTCTCAGATCATAAAACCATATTATTTTTGTGTGATTTGCTTAATGAGCCAGACTATTCCTGCCGGAGACTAGTTAGTGGTGGGGAGGATAGAATGGGGTGGGTAACTAAAAAAAGATTTTTTTTTTTAAACAGTAAATAAATAGGAGTTGGGATATCAGCCTTTGGTTGAGGTCTTCAATTTTTTTTTTACATTTATTTATTTATTTAGAGAAGCTCACATATATGTGTGTATGGAGGTCAGAAGGCAACTTGTGGGAGTTGGTTTTCTCCTTCTGCCGTGTGGGTCCCAGGGACAGAACTCCAGTCTTGAGGCTTGGCAGCACCCTTACCTGCTGAGCCAGCCCAGCCTTTGGTTGTGATTTTTATCCTGGCCCTGGGACCTCGGCAAATTGATCAGTCTCTTAGGACCCCACATTTCCTCATCTGCATAATGGATGGACCAGTCCTGTAGTGAGTGTCTTGTGTCTCTAAAGTCCTATGCTACGTGTTTACTAACCCACTGAGGAACATTTGAGCTCATGCTGACCCAGAATGACTGCTCTGGCCCCTCCCCCTGCCTGGACCTGTGGGGTTTTGGTGTGGTGTGGGATCTGCCCAGCCTGTGGGGGCCACTGTATGGTTCCGGTCCCAGCTTAGTTGCCGGCGCTCAGTTCCAAGCTGTGGCACAGCGGTCACCAGGAAAACAGTCTGAAAGGAGTCCTCGGGGACCACACTGTCAAGTCAGCCAGAGTTGACTCTGCAGCCATTCACTTGAGCAGGCTCAGGTTACATGGGTACGAGAAGTAGGCCCCGAGGAGTAAGTAGGACCAAACACAGTAGTCCTTAGTCTTCCAGCACCATTTCCTGGGTACATGTGTGACACTGAATAAACATTCTTAAAAGATGTGTGGAGCGTGAGAGACATCCTTAAGCACATGTCCTGGCCTGCTGCCTCATTCTGCCAAGGCTGAGAGAAGGAAGTGCCACTTTGATCACCAGGTGAACTGCCGGTGGTCTCTGTCCGTTCCACAAAGAGCTGAGCTCTTGGCCTCCTGATTCCTCCGCTTCCAGGCTTGGGTGGAGAGAACCAGGGTTCTGAATACAGGAGTGAAATGGCTTTTCACGGCTGGGCTGAGAAATCCCCGATGCCTGTGTGACCTTACTGCAGTTGCTCTTTCTAGAGGGAGTGTTCTCTGGTCCGTCCTTCCCTCTGTCTGTCTGTCTAGGGAGCCGACCTCCCTCCCGGCCTGCAGTGCTGCTTGGCTGATCCAGGGGGAGCCTGGGGTTCCCTCGGCCTTTCCCGTTGCTAAGC